AACCCTGCAATAGAGGAAACATGATGTGAACTGATTCTCTGCCAAAGAATATGAAGAGCCACCTTCAATTAAACTATGCAAAAGCAAGCCAAATGGAAAAGGAAAACAAAAACAAAACCAGTTAAGATCATTTCCAAGTTCTAATTCTCACATCAAAAGATAGGAAAACATTTTAGATAACTGTGGTCAGAGAGGATTCTCAGAGTCACCGAAATTAGGTTTGGGCCTCTGACGTCCCAGGTTGCTCTCTCCTGGTTTAGGCGATCCCCTGTAAAACTGCAACTTCCTAGAAGAAAGTCAGTGGAATGAATCTTCTTTGTGTACCTTGTTGGTACAGAAAAAGCCCTTAAGATTTTCCTCTCAAAGAAAAAGGAATCATACAGACTTCCACAGTTCTTAAGACCCAGAAAAGGGCTAACGTGCTACAACCCGAAGGTGATTTATTACATCCACCTTGGCTTAGAGCACTGCATGCCTTTCTTAGTACAGTGCAATCAAGTGTTACTGAGTAAATATTTTAAGTTTCCATGTTAGTAAGCCAAGATTCTTTCATCCTTCTCATGAAGAATCTCATGTGATCATAATGGCGCAGTCCTGCTTCACTCTGTTATTCATTTACTGTTTTAAATGAAAGTGCACATTCATACTAGTTAATCCTATTTACCGTGAAAACTACATGTTGAATAATGGAAATAATGTTGGGGTTATCTAGATATGAATTCCCATCAAGCAATGAAACTTAGTGGCTGAGCCTTGGCCATGAGTAGGAATATCAAAGTCCAGTACTCTTTTGTGGCCTCAGAGTGGGAGAATCTAACATTTTTCAGCCCTCTTGTTTTTTTCAAGTCTAGGGAATGTTGCATCTTCCTTTTTTTTTAACATTTTCACATGAATGTATCAGGACTTGATAGGATATTTAAAGTCATCAACTCTGCATCTTAGAGATTTGCTAAATTATCTCTGATTGGTGTTGATGCTGTTTCTACTTAAAGACTGTAGATGACTTCTCTCATTCTGGCTTCATAGCAAGGAAATCTTCTACCCACCATCCTCTGTCAACCCATTAAATACATTTCTGCTGATTAACTGTCTCCCTTTTGACCAATTAAATGCAGAACAATTTGCATATTATGACAATCTTAGCCTAAAGGCCTGAGCTGAAATGCTGAGGAAGTATACATTTATATTTCATTTTAAATAATAAAACATTTATTGTTGTAATTTTATTTTGCATTCCAATTTGGTATGTACAGAATCAAAATGGTCTGGAGAAAAAAAGCCACTATGTCTTTTGTCTCACAGTCCTTGGTTATTTAAAAGAAATCGAAGTGTACAATGTGACTTTCTACTGTAGCCAGAGAATACAGGTGAATGAAGAGTCAGACAGGGATATGTTGATTGGCCTTGGTCCTACACTTTCCTTCTTCCTTCCCAGCTGGGTAGCAAGGACCAGATAGCAAAAGCCACTGTTGTTAATAGCAGGTGAGATAACAGACAGAAGAAATTCCATTCAAGCCTGCTTCTCCTTCCTCAACTCCACCTGAAGCTCAATTCTTTGGCCTTGATCCTGTCTCCTCCTTAGACATTCCCGTAAGTTCGGGAGTCTGGAAGTGGGATAAATCAGTGGGAAGTAAGGAAAACCTCATATATGCCATATGCTATGGCAGGGTTTCTCATGCTGGCTGGGGAATTCTGGGAGTTGAAGTTCACCCACCTTCAAGTTGCCAAGGCTGAGAAACACTGTGCTATGACTTAACAATCTAAAAATAAACTCATTCTCTGAATGCCAATGAAAGCAAGTTGGTTTTATTTTTATGCAAGAGAGAAAGTATTTGCAAGCTTGGGGACAGAGACAGGGGTGCCCCCAACAGTCACTGGCTTCAAAAGGGGGGGGGGTTCTGGACCAGAAGACCAGAGCCCCACCCCCTCTTAATAAACTAGTATAAAACATACTCTCTCATTGGCTTATAAATCAGGTCAATGTGTGCGATCAAAAGTGGCAGGGCTTTGGCTGCCCAGTTGTACACACTCTTTGAAGCCAGTGACCATTGTTGCAGACTCCCTGTCAGATATTATTATTAGTGGAGCAAGAATGTAAGTAGACATTAAAAACTGACAGTAGTGAGGTAATTAATATCAATAGTTTATCTACTTTATTAATGAAGCACAATGTACTTGTGGCAATTTTCTATTACCTTCCGATCAAGCCATCTCCTGAAACCTGCATTAGTACTGCAACTTACCCAGTCCTGTTCCTACCCTGGAAATTAGCTAAAAAGTGACTTGGCTCACCTTACAGAAGAGAAGGGTCTCCTAACAAGCTATAGGGCTTCTGTTGCTCACTTTGGGGTAGAGCAGTGAGGCCTAGAACCATCATAATGCTACCATTATATTATTTCACACACTGTTGTAAATATTATGTCTGGTGAATTGCGGAATGAGAAATACTTTAGAGAAACATATCCCTTATCCCAAGGGTTGAAGAAATTTAAGCAAAAACTTGAGGGTGGAGGTGGAAATGGAATCCTTAAACTTTACTGGCCATAGAAATTGAGTGTGCTCTCAATAGGAAGGATGGAAGAACAATCTCAAGAAGAAGCAGAAGATAATGGATTATTCTGATATTGGATATTGACTAGTAGCTCAAGACCTGAACAGAAACCTATTGCACTGCAATGTTTTGTTGCACGTCTGACTGACTTGTGTGCTTATCTGTGCATATGCATACAAGTGCATGCACACACATACAGACACACACACAGGTCCCCTCTCCACAAAAGAGCATCTTCCTCAATCATTTGCAAACAGTTCTTGAATTTCTTGTTCGTCCCCTCAACTGCGAGAGCAGACTTCAGTAAAACTTGCCTCCTTATAAGAGAGTGTATTGTTATATATTTACAGACAATAATGCTCATTTTTATTATTCATAAATTAGTTTAAGCACTGTATTCTTTTTCCACCAAACTTAAGAGTATCCCCCTCTGCCAAACCTATGTTAATCTTATGCAGTATACAGCCACTGCTGCTAGAGAAACCATGGATGCGCTTAGCAAAAAATGTTTGAAAGCTCAAATTTTAGGAATTATGACTATATAATTAATTTTGCTGCCAAGGGTCTATTAGCAACAGGATAAGAGTATGCGCTAATTGGAAGTGACAGTTGATAAAGCAGTTAATGTGCTATGATCAAAGTGGCTGAATTACAGGATTGTGTAACCTCTTGTATCTTCATTGTCATTAGCCTGCTGTTATCATGGAGCATGGTGGACGGCAATAACATGGAAATGGATATGCTGATGCCATTAACAATCAGCCCCTGTGAAATAAGAGTCTCACCCAGAGAGCAAGCTTTTATTTGGGTACAGTTACTGGTTCTATGGATAAAAAAACATAACACATCCAAAGCCAGAACAGTAAGCTACATTCTTCTACTGAAACTGTTAGTTTTTTTAGATGTTCACAGATCTTGAGATCTGCGGCAAGCATAGATCTGGTTTATACACCATATTAAGACAAGCTTTATTGAGTAAGCATGAACGATTCAGGTTCACACAACCCTAAAGCATAAGCTATACTTTACCCAGTACAATGGCTAGGTTCAGACCAACCAGGCTGGCTTACTGTGATGCGTGAACCAGGTGATGTTATCTCAGTGCCATAGGAAACAAGTTAACTTTCCAAAAGGGCACAGGAGCAGGTTCTCATATGACTTACCTATGCTAGACCTTGCAAGGGTAAAGGGAGAGACATTTCAGGGAAAATTCATGGCTCTTATTTTTCTGCTTCTATGACATGCAAACATTAGGTTTTTTGAGGGGGTTGTTTTTTCCTGATGGGACTGGGGGAAAGCATTCAGAACAAACAAGTGGAACTTGGAATGTGATGTGGCAGTGTTGAAATATTGTTGTTCAAATGTCCATGTTTATATTTCAGCAGATCTTGATGTTTTCTTAAGCCAGAAGATAATTAATTTCCTCCTCTCCACTGTGAATAGTGTGATTTGAACTACATATATAGAATCATTCTTTTTTGAATTCTCAACATAGGGTTTTTAATAATTTATTTATCTTCCTTTATTTTTACAAAAGAAAAGAAACTTATGAATAATAATGACAATACAAAGTTAAAAAAAAAAACTCAGAATGAAACCAGAAACATATTATATACACACACGCACACCCATACACAGACCTATGTAATCTAGATGGAAGATACAAATATTTGAAGTATTTCTATGCAGTCCCATACAGACAATAATAAAAAAAACATTAATACTGCTAAATAAATAATTAACCAATTTGACGGAATTTATCTTTCATAATAAGTTGTTTTCAATGTTCTTTTGTGTTAACTTTTTAGCCAAAAGTAATTTTCCACCCATATAAATACCACTGATCCAACAAAGTATATACTTTGGTTTTCCAGTGCTTTTTTGTATTACAAAGAATTTCAATGTGATCCATCATGTTCAGTGCCCAAATTATTCTCTCAATTTTTTTTTAAGACTTTCAAGAGAACTTGGTGTTTTCAGTGTAAGAGTTTTATTTATGTAACACTGACGAGATTCCCTTACCATTATGTGAAGTAGATATGCCCTTATTTTGGTAATATGATTAACAGTCATATCTCCAAAATAGATTTGAACCAATCCTACAATGATCAAGTTGTTGCATTAAGACTGGGGAGGCCCCGGCTCAACCCTCCTCTCAGCCTCTGACACTCACTGGGTGATACTGGGGCTCTCTCATCTGAATCTTCCCATCAAGGAGTAACTAGAAATGGGGGGAGGATGGAAAAGGTAGCAGGTTGAATGCTGCCTTGCTCTCCTGAAGTTAGAGTATAATATGCATCTATCTCATAAATGAATATTACACATGCCCTGCTCTTCATGAGTCTTTCAGCTAAGGTTAAAAGATGAATGAAGCTGGAGTCAAATGTTTAACCAAGAAAGCTATCCCTCCCTACTGCTCCTTAAAAGATGTTTCTTCTGTTCTACACACCTGACCGATAGCGCTCATCTCGTGACCCTGAGGATCTGCGGCGATGGTATCGAGAGGAGGAGGATGGAGTAACTGGCGTTCGGCGTTCTTGTGGCAGTGCTTGATCCACTCCTGCATTTGTGGAAAACAAGGAGGAAAAAAAATCAGGTTCTGTTGCATTATTTTTCAGAATCATGCTAAATGTGGTATATAGTGGATGCAAAGAAAAATTTGAGCTTCTTAAGCTGTCAGGAGCTCTATGCTAGAGTTGGGATAAAGCAAAGAATAAATTGTAGCAGGATTCTATGCTTCACTGTTCAAAATCAAAAGTGTGAATGCACATGTGCATTACTGCCATCAATTGCAGCACAAGCATGCAAAATGCTACAGAACAGCAACAACTCTGAGGAATGCACCTTTGTGGAAGAATTGCGCAAATCGGAAGTGGACCAAGAAAATATCTGGTGGAGTCAGAATGATAAAACAGCAGCATCGAGTACAGTAACTCTGAAGGGCCCACCTTCCATTGGTACATAACTAAAAATCTTATGAGTCAAGTAAACCAATGTTTGCTAATCAATTTTGATGCTGCAAAGTGAAAGTGCAGTAACAGTTTTATATAAATGTCCATATTACTGGAAAAAGCAAGCTAATTCAGATGCCTCCAGAAGTGAAACATAGACCAAAGACTGAATTGTTCCCTTCATTGGATAGGGTGGAGCTCTAAATAGAAAAGGACCCTCTCCCATTAAGTCTCACCCTTGCTGTCCTCAAAATGAACAGAAGGAACTCTTTCTTTGGGCAGAAGGAAGATGAGAATAATTGTTCCTGTGTTCCACCTGGGCTGAGAAAGGCAGTTCTTCCTCCATTGAAGGAGTAGTGGACAACCTCCAATCTGTTTCTCTATGAACACATAGAAAATAAATGATCTGCTGTCCCTCTTCTGCACTGAAAAAGGGAAGGAAATGTGGATGGACCAGGTGCAGAGTTCTTGTGGACTGCATCTGGTCTGCAGCTCTAGAGAGCCACCAGGCACTTCTGTTGATTTTATGCATGAAATCAAAATATACCCACTGAGCCTTTCCAAAACAAGGTTTTCCCAGCTCTTTAGCTCAATGAACCCCATCTGCTATCTCCAGATGTTACTAACTCTTGATTCCTGAGGAAGATGGATATATGACCGAAGGAGAAAGAATACTGAGGTAGAATTTTTATTTCTCATGTGGTGGTATCTCCAAAGAAACAGCATTTACGATATATGTTACACAAACAAGCAAGTAAGGAGATGAAACAAGAAACAGCTCTGTGATGGATTATGTGCTCTGTACTGTCCTGGCAAATGGTTAAAAATAAATACGAGCTAATTGAAATAATCAGTTCAGTAGCTCTTTCCAAAGAGCATCATGTGGTTGTGCTTGGAGCAGGCGACAGCTCTATTTTAGGTCTACAAATTAGATACTATGGTGATAGGAACCACAGGGGACAAAAAAACCACAACTCTGCTTATTTGAAAGGTAGGTAGTTTATATACCCTCCAAATTTGCACCAGTGGAAAAAAATGGGCACTTTTCACACACACCTTAGTTTCACATTAAAGATGATAATTGGAGTTCCCCTTCTTACCTATTGTATACTGCAGGATGTTTCTGTACTTATGTATAATATTTTTATTCATGTTGCAATAGCTTGACCTGTTTTATAAACCAATGAGAATGTTCTATAATACTAGAACACTGTAATTTTTAAATAAGGCAAAAATGGGCAGAATATCAGTTGAAGTGGGCTGTTAATCCATGAGCTTCTGCATCCTAGATCCAACATCTCTTTTCTTTATACAATCTCAGTTTCTACTTCCAACTGTGAAATCTTGGAGGCCTGTATCAATACTACCAAACAGAACTGCTAATGAGCTTTTTTCTATGTTATATTCTTACAATCTTATAAATCTGCAGCTACTGAAACTACCTAATTAACTGATGAGTCTCAGTTTTTATTCTCCTTGGAACTGGCTCTTCTTTTTGTGTCCTGTTCATGCAGTGGTCAGTTGCTGGTTCAATTTTTTTTTTTCAAACAATGACATGAGCACATTTCTCTAGTAGGAAGCTTTACACTGAAAATGTCTAATTCAATTTGCTGCCTTCATTAAAGGTCAAGATAGGACCTTCTTCCCCTCTCCCCCACTTACAAGGGATATAAATATGACTTCATGGCTGGTTACCAAGTTTTCTTCAAACAATGGAAGCATAGCACAAGCTGCTATTAGGTACGCATTTCCAATTTTTAAAAACAGCCTACTTTTTTCTTGCAGGGTAAATATAGAACACAAAATATTAAACCTCTGGTATACAGACCCTTTTGTATAAGACACAAAACCCTCACGGAATATTAAATGCCAAGAATTCAGTGGAGTGTTGCCATCAAGAGGAAGGGAGCCTTAACAGAAACATCACTCACCTGTCTGGCACACACACTGTTGCAACCTGCAGTCAGATGGAATGCGGTTTTTCCAAAATGAAATTTGTGCAAATAAATAATGCACAGGGCAATCTGTAGATGACTTATAGATTCCTTGCTATTGCCTTGCATGGAGGATCATATCTTGCAAAATCATGTACTGATATTCCCTTGAAATCTCTTTTGGTCTGTTTTCCAGGGATAACTCCATGGTGGACAGCCCATCTAGAAAACTGTGAATCATCATGTCTCTCAATGAGGAGGTAACAGAATATAGTTGGAAGCTGCAGTAAATTTGCTCTTTATTTGGAATAGGCGTGATGAAAATAAATATGTAAAGTTAATAAATAAATTGGTAGTGTAGTGCAGCCAGTGTTCAGTTGCATGAAAGGAGTTCTCTTCTGAAGGCTATTTTTTTTTCATCTACAAGGAAGATCAAAAAGAACAGAAAAGAAAAACGTCCATCATACCTAGTGATGGCCACCAATTTGGATTTGATAGTTTCAGTGGAACTGGGATATCAGTGGCTACAAACCTTGATCTGAAGGCTATCTTTTGAATCCCTAACCGCCTCTCTGTCCATATATGTTAGCTTCCCAGATGCCCTTGGTTGGCCATTATGTGACACAGAATGCTGATCGTTAATGTAAGGGCCAGCAGGTCATAAGTCAGAGTTGGCAACTATGTAAATATTTAACAACCACTTGACTAGAAGGCCACCAAGTCTCAGGAAAGGCCAGAAGAAAATGAGTTTATCATAGTGGGTGTAAGGAGACTGCCACTGGCAATAGGCAACCAACTGGTTCATCTGGCTTCATTCTTGTTTCCAATAGATTCTTAACTAATCGATCTATGTCCAGGAGCCAAATCCGAACTTAAGAGCCATGTAAAATGAAAATGTGTGTGATTTATTGCTGAATCTTTTAGGGGGAGCCTAACAATTCTAGTCAGCTCTTATATTCTACTTATATTTGCTTTAGGCCACCTAATGCAACCAAGTAGTTTGGAGTTGCATTCATTGAATTCTGGGATCTGCAACATATATGAAAAGCCCCACATGAGGAAGGCTGACCTAATGACGTTCAAGGCAGACTGAATCCAGGATCTCCTAATCTGAACTGCTACGTCTTAGATTCTAGTTCTGAGCTCTTTGTCTCACATATACTGTAAACAAGACTCTAAGAAATAACCAATGAGCAACCAATGTTCCTTCCCCAATGATTTATGAGGAAGATTTATGCTTTTGCCACTGTCTGAGCTTTTGAGATGAAGGCAATGAACAATCAGCACCTACAACTATTTGTTGGGACCAAGCCCAGGAAAAATGAAATCAAGATTCAAAAGAATCACAGAAACTTGTCCCCAGTAAGACAAAGTCAGACAGAAATCTTTATTTATTTATTTATTTAAGTATTTTAATAATGTCCGTCCCTCCATGGAACAAGAGTGCTTTAGTTTGAGAAAAGATACATTATTTTGATTCTTATGGAAACTGGAATAAGGAAACAATTTAATTGGATTCAAGTCTGGAGAACAGTAGCTATTTAACAGATTTACACCATCTCTTCCAGCATCTTAATTCCTACAGAATCAGAGTTGGAAGAGACTTCAGAGATCATATAATCTCTACTCCAACCATCTGCTCAGTGCAGCATCTGTTCAAGCATTTCCAGCCTCTGACTGAAGACCTTCAGTGATGGAGAATTTACCATTGTAGAAGAGTATGGAGATAGCCTTGAAGAAGTATGCAACAGCCATTAAGAAAACATCAGCTTAGCCCACAAAGACAGGAGGGGGTGAGGAAGAACCTCAGGACTGTTGTGCCTTGACTCTCTTTGCCACAAGAGAGAGGGAGAAACTCTAATAGGCTTTCAAGGTTCTTTTATTCCTCCTAATATCTAACACAAATCTATTTCCTTTTATTTTCAACCCACTGGTTCTTGTCCTGCTCTTTGAGCAACAGAGAACAAATCCACTTCCATGTCTATTTGATGTCCCTTTAAATATCTGAGAACTGCCTATCATGTCTCCCCTCAGCCTTCTGCAGGTTAAACATCCCCAGGTCTTTTAAGTGGTTATCACAGTTCTGTTAGTTTCCAGACCCCTCACCATCTTGGTAGCTCTCCTCTGAACTTGCTCCAGATTGTTGATGTCCTTTGCCTCTCCTTTTTTCCATTAATTACTCCCTGTTAGAATGCTTTACTTAACTCTGCAATATGAGAACATAATATTCTCTTTTCCTAATTACGCTCATTTTAAAAATGTGTATGTGTGTGCGCTGCTGATTCCATCTCCAACCACATTAAAATACCCTAAAGTCCAATTTAGAATTCTTGAACAGAATAAATTTATATTAAAGACAATGGGGGCAATCAAACATTCCAATTTCTTATGGGGCCTTCCAAGTGTTCCTGAAATGGTCTGGGACACTTGGAAACGAACCTTCAGAACAAGCCTATGTTGGACCACTTTCGGACTACTCAAAACGGTGCATCCTGGGAAAAGGCACTGCTGTTTCAAAGAGCTGCCTGCCATGCACTTTCCAAAGCAC